GCCCGCCCAACACCCTCTGCTTCTCCACGAAGCAGGAAGAGGGGGAGGGGGTAGTAGCCGCAGCAACACACTGTATAGAATATGCACCAAAAGAGTGAAAGAAAGGGAAGTTAAAGATGGGTTTGGAAGGTGGAAGGCGTGCCGCCTGCTCATACCTGAGGACTCCCATTTCTGGGGGGCCCGCCCGTGCCTGTGCGCACGCACAAGGCACCGAGTGTATTCCGGCCTCGTCGGACTTTGGTTCACTGTCGCTCACTCACACTCTCATACACCTCTCTCTTTTTCGCTCAGAAGCACACACATCAGATCAGTAGTCTTTCTCTCACACACAGCCACGCACGCACACACACGCACACACGCAAATGGTCGCACGCGCGCCCGCCCCAGCCCGCGCGCTCTGGGTCACACAAACAAAACAAGGCTGCGCGTTCGCGGCTCGGCTCGGCCCAGCCCCCGGGGTAAGCGGCAACCCGCACGACAGCAGGAGGTGCACTGCCTGCGCGGCTGGAGCGGCGGGTGAAGCTAGGGCGGCAGCCGGGGCGGCAGCGCTACCCCGCGAGCAGGCCGAGCTGGCCGACGGTGGCGCCCCCCGCCCCGCGCGCTGGAGGCGCCACCAAGCTCGAGGTGTGCGGGAAGGGGGAGGGCGGCCCGCCGCAGCACGGCCAGCTCGAGCGCCTGGAGGGGCTGGAGCTGGCGGAGCTGGCCAGGCCGAGCATCGAGCGGGCCGGGAGCGCCGCGCGTCGCACCGGACCGGTCGCACCAGACGAACAGGTGGTGTCTCCAGGCCCTCCTGGAGTCCAGGGGGACGCGCACCGACCAGCTCAGCAGGGCTCATGTCTATCCTCCCACCGTGTCCCTCCTGCAGCCAATCATGCATCTTTACATCAAACCAAATTAAAATTCGCGGGGAGTAACACATTTCTGTGCCTCTTAACGACAAAGTCCGATGTGCAGCGGCCCCGTTACACAAAGTCCGATGTGCAGTGGCACGGTTACACAAAGTTCGATCTGCTTTTCGTCGCTCGCGGGAGACGCAAGTTTAGACCTTCAATACAGTCTTGTTGCGGTAGCATCCAATTTTTTCTTTGCTGGGTTTTCAGAGTTGTTGTTAACGACATGCATCGATTTGAGACCTGACCCTCCTGATCCTCTCTAAAAATTGCATACCGAACTTACAAGTAGACTTCTTCAAAATGTGGATATTTGCTTCTTAATCCATAGATGAGCATTACCAGTTGAATTTTGTGATTACTTTCAAATCTTGGAGTGCTTAAGAAAAGCGCATAGTGGAAAAAGTTGAGAAATTGAGTGCACCACATGCAAATACATTTAGCGTGTAAATTTGGCTTGTCAAAAACCCAAGAACACAACAATCTATAAAGCACGATGTGAAACGGCGCGGCCTCATGCAGCGCGGATGTAGTTTAAGATGAAACACGAAGAACAATGCTCTTCACTCTCCCGCGAGCAGAGCGACTCGAGAAGTGCGTTTGAACAATCAAGGCGGGGCCTCGGGCGGCCCCTATGAGGAGAACGCACACGAAGTTTCCGCAGCACGTCGAGACGCATTTGTTTCCCCCGGAGAATTAAGGAGAGCCGGGTGGCACCTCCTAAAACTCCCCGGCACACGCACATCGCGACACTGTAAATGGAACAAGTCTTATCAACCGTCGATTTTTCATGCTAAACGCTTATACACACTTAATGTATTTGTAGTTTTTTGTGCAAACGTTTGCACAAAGTTTCGCATACATTTCGATTCGCACGAATTTTTGCGCAAATATGTACAAATTTGTGCACACGTATGCACAAAAACATACACTTCTTCGCACACGTGCGAATGAAACGTATGCGCAACTTTGTACAAAATGAAACCTCCAAATCTGTTTGTGTGTATGCTTTACTTTACTGCTTCAGTCGAAGCAGTATTTGTGTTGTTATTTTCGCTGGGGAGTTGAGATGGTCACACTTTCAGTCCCCCTTTCTTTAGCCTCCTGATGCTATGGCTATACGGCTTATGAAAATAACTCCCCAACAAGAAAACTGAGAGTGCACAGGGTGGGGAATAATAGCGTGGTGTGGCTGAGCCGTTTGGATCCGAACGAGATGATAAGAATACAATGCCCACTCCCGCCCGGGCGGGGCCCCACCCCTCTCAACAGCCGTAACACACTGGCAATATGACCGTCCCGGAATGGAATGGGCTGCTATTGAAAGTCGCGGCCGCTGCGAACATTCATATCCCCCGTTTGTTCTTTCAGTACACTTTCAAATAGAGTCCACTCTGGGAATTACTTTCTCGGCAATATATATGTAAATTAACCAAATAAAATACGCGAAATATCCTGCGGGATATTCTGTGATTTTTAGGGAAGAATCTAGACGTTTCACTGGCCGAATACTGCTCACTGCCTTTAAGGTAGGAATATATAGTGTGCAGAAAGCCCTGCTGACAAATCATGTTTTTCATTTTTATGAAATTTATCTGTGTTTTCGGATCAGTCCTCGCCGCGAAACTTCCCTTGTAATTTTTGACAGTGGACAATGTTAAATTCCTGCAAAGCAACACTCAAAAAATCGTCCTTTTGAAAAACATAGTAATTGTTTCCTCTAATGCAGTATACTAGTGTATAGTATATTGTACACTTAAGCTACGGGCTAGATTTTCCTCCATTCATAAGAGGAATTTCCACTCTCTGTCCAGGAACTGTGAGTTGCGAGATGGCGTTGCAGCAAGCGCTCCGCAGAAACAATGATTTATGTTTCAGTAAACTTTTTACAAAAATATTAAGTGTAACTTCGTACAGTGTGTTCCAGAACATCAGGATCTAACAACGAGGATCTAACAACAGGATCTAAATACTTCGCAGTTCTGTAAAGCGTTGCTTTGCAGGATTTTAACAGTGAGTGGAGCCCCGGGCCCACACGTGATGAGAATGCCAGTCTCTAATAATTCTGTGGGCGGCCCGGGACTCGTTTGCCTGACGGAATTACAAGATTACTGCGATGCTGCGGGGCAGCAGCGTGGCGTGGTGTGGTGCGGCTGTGCGCGAGGCCCTGTGAACCATCACCACCTACCAGCAACCACCCTGCTGGCGTTGCCTTCTCGCCCAAATCATACAAAGGCGCCCAGCCATGCGTGCAGACGAGAGGGCCTCTCCTCAGCTCCGACTGTTGTGTTTGCCGTCTCCGTCCCTTATGCATGCAAAGGCGCGATGAATTAATTATCGCTGAGCGAAGCTCAGTCCAAGTCGATGAGGGGTCAGGCGATGTGTCCGTCGTGAGTCTGTCTGTCTGTCTGTCACATTCCGTATCTCCTCAAAATGTGCTGCACTGACAGCGAGAAGCGGGTTTGCCCAAGAATCGATAATTTACGAGGATTATCTGTGTGCATTATTGCATGCATTGGTCAGCTTTGAAATATTCAATCGTTTTATTTGAATTCGCGCACAGTTAGTTGGAATGTTGGCAGCAGTGCACTTGAGTGGGTATGAAAAGCGCCAACGGCTGCGGCGCTCACTTCGCGACTTTGATACCCTCTCACAAGTGATTAAATAGTCAGATTGTCAAACCAAGTGTGTTACTTTTAGTTTTAGAGTTGCGGAACTGGATCTACGAAGTTTCGCGAGTGTCCGGTGAGAAGCAACGAAAGTGATATTTTGAATGGTTTACGTGTTTACTTACGTAAGTTGGAGGGGGGAAGGGGGTAGTGGTTCGGGAGAAATGTAAAAAGGTAACTATTGTTTCGAGTTCATCTCGACAAAAGAAAACGAAAATCTTTTATGCTCTAAGACGATCGGAATCGAAATGGCAGAGTTATTGCCCCCCAAATTGACAATTTGATCGTTTTTGCATACATTTACCCCTTTGGAGGCTAATAACTTTGCCATTTCGACTCTGATCGGCTTTGAGCATAAGACATTTCCTTTTTAATTCTGAAAAAGGAATCCAAGTCCTGTATTACACTTTTAATTTTGTAATTTCTAAAAAAATCCTACTTTTCAATTTTGTTATTTTAACAAAATGGAATGGTGTTTACTTGCAGAATGATTGGAAGTCACCTAATCTTTCAATAGGACTTGTCAAAACGATTTTTAAACACACAACTTATTTTCACGATAGCCATGGACTTGCAAAGGACCGAACAATATTATAGCCAGTATCGCAAACTCAGGTAGGATAGGCCCATCAAAATCAGAACAAAGTATACCATTTTCTTAAATTGATGAGCTTTGTCTGCAGTCGCATTATGTTTAATGGTATCCAATAAAATGGTAGGAGCATTGAAATTAAACTCTTTGATACGATACATTATAGAACTTTCAATGAAATAAACTTCAGCGACTCGTGATCCTTTAAATACCTCAGAGAGATCTGATATAAATGAATGAAAGAGCGACAAGTTATACTTGTCATAGGAGAGAATTTTAAGTGTATTTTGAAATTAAATTAAATATTAGGGTATTGAATTTAACTTCAACCAGAGGCAATCCAATAGAATTTCACCTTAAAAAATAAATTGAATTGAATGAAATGGGAGCATCATGCTTCATTTGGCATCACACAAAATGTTAATTAAGTAGGGAGAGGGCAGTGGGAATAGGAAGGGACAGTAGCACACATGTTCTGTAGGTGAACTGCAGGAATGCATAAATTTACCCCCCCCCCTTTCCCCTCTATAACCAGCCTTTGTTACAGTTATGTGTTTACCAAAACCAATCAACCTTCAACCATGTATTTTGATGAATAGAAACCAGACTTCCCAGTATGAGAAAAAAATCAGAAAAAAATCAGAAAATTAAAGAGAAATCAATCAGAGATAATCCGAAAAATTGGTGTAAGCTTGAATTGATAGTGAAGTACCCCTCGAGGGATGCCCGGGGAGAGGGGAGGGGGGGTGCACAGTAGCTTGCCTCAATGCACATACAGGGATCTTCAAACAAATTCCTTATCCCTTAGACGGCTCACTATAGAGACGGAAGAATAAGAAGCGCCCCTCCCCCCAATCTCTTACGTTCAAGGAGCAGACGACCGGTTGCCTACCTACTAGGCGGACCCTCATTCGGTATAGTTTTGTTCTATATTTTTTATGTCTTCTGTAAATTTAATGCACTTCGCTCAGCTACCCCGTGCATAATGTTAACGCACGGGGCCCTACGTCATAGCAGCACAGCCACAGCCAGCAAGCACGTTAGAAACGTGGCTGAGGCTTAAGGGAACATATTTATGTTCTGCCAATCGACATAAACCTGTTTCGTTATTTAGTAGAGTTTTTCTTTGCCTTTAAAAAATGAGGTATTTTAGCGGTTAGAAGAAATGAAGAATCCCCAAGATGGCGGCCGCTAGAACATAACAAACCGGCAATCGTTTTAAAACTAAAGTTTTGATTTAGCCCTTAAATTTGTCTACATGTTAAATCTGGGTCTACTCTGAGTCTATCCTCAGTCAGTTGAAAAAATTTAAACCCCTTGGAACCTCACAGCAAGCGAATTTAAGAAACGTCGTCTGCTGGTTTG